ATGGTAGCTGATGTTGTTGTTTTTTATTAACTGAGCAAGAGGGAGCATGTAGATATTGAATAGGAGGGGACCCAGAATAGACCACTGGGGAACCCCACATGTGATTTTTGTCATCTCTGATGTAAAGTTGCCTACTGATACAATAAAGTCCCCGTCCTTTAAGTATGATTTAAACCAGTTGAGAGCTGTACCAGAGAGGCCGACCCAGTTTTCCAGGCACTCTAACAGGATGGAGTGATCAATAGTATCGAATGCTGCGCTGAGGTCCAATAGTACCAGCACTGTGGTTCTTCCGCAGTCTGTATTTATATGGATGTCATTAAAAACCTTGATAAGGGTGGTCTCTGTACTGTGGTGAGCACAGAAACCTGACTGGAACACAGCACAGGTTTCACCACAGCAGTGGTTTGATATTTGCTCTTTTTAGGGACTGCAGGAAAACAACTGATAGAAGGGACGTGTTTATTATCTGAGTCAAATCAGATGCTATGACAGGCAAAACTTTCTTAAAGAAAGCTGTGGGTAGAACATCAAGGCAGCAGGAGGAGGAACTTAGCTGCTGAATGATTTCCTCTTAGCTTTTGTAGTTTATTTGGCTGAATTGGGACATTTGGTCAAGATCAATTCCAGTTGGAGACAACCCTGGTACTGAACTTGATATGGATGTATAAACTGATTAACTGATAGTGAACCTGGAGTTTCTCCACCTGCGTTTAGCTTTTCGACACTCCCTTTTTTCACTTCTAACTGCTGGAGTACTTCTCCAAGGAGATGTTTTCTTTCCGAAAAAGACTTTCACTTTAATTGGAGCAGTGCAGCTAATGATGTGTGAGACTTTAGACTGAAAGTTATCTACTAGCTCATCAACTGAGTTGCAGCCCAAGGTTGAAGTAGCAGAGTAAGCTTGAATAAAAGTTTCTGTGGCATTTTCCCTAAAGGTGCGTTTTCTTATGATGTCCCTTTGGCTAAACGAGTCACTGGAAACGATGCCCTCATAGGTAACAGAAAAGTGATCAGATAGGGCAACATCAGTAACATTGACTTTAGAAATCTTCAGACCTTTAGTGATGACCAAGTCTAAAATATGTCCCTGTTTGTGTGTTGGTTGTTTAACATGTTGAGTTAAACCAAAGTTTCTATGTGTGTCACACAGTTCTTTTGCACTTCAGGGTTGTCAACGTGAAAGTTGAACTCTCCCACAATACAACAAACAAGTTTACTAGTGGTTGCTAGAATTTCTAAAAGTAGAATGGGAGGCAGATCTTTTAGTTATTGGGCTCCTCTCCTATGGAACCAACTACCAGTTTTAGTCCATGAGGCAGACACCTTGTCTACATTTAAGGGCAGGCTCAAAGCTTTCCTTTTTTGATAAAGCTTAGAGTTAGAGAGGCTTGTGTTATCCAGTGCTATCTTTATAGTTATGATGCTATAGGCTTAGACTTCTGGAGGACACAGAGACCCATTTTTCATAATTTTGCTTCATTCTATCTCTATTCTCCCACTCTGCAGAATTTGTTAGTTAAATCCCTAATGTTATGCTCTCTCTGCTTTTTCTCATAGTAGCTTCGCCTTGTCTCTTCCTGTTTGGCTGTGACGCCATCCTGGAGAGAAATATCAGCTATGCTGCATTCAACACCTTTGTTTATAGATGTTGGAGATTGGCCTGTTTTTCAGTGTAGTCCTGTTTCTCTGGCTGACAGGCTGGATGTGCTCTTTTCATTCTCTGACATGGGAGCTGGCTTGTCTGCCTGGCTGTGTGTTTCCTGGATGGGGCTGCCTTTTAGAGTTGCTGTTTATATGTCTGCTTCTGTCTCCTTGAACCCCAGTCAGCTTCGGCAGATGGCCGCTCACAGTGAGCCTGGTTCTGCTGGAGGTTTCTTCTTATTCAAAGGGAGTTTTTCCTCTCCACTGTAACTACAAGCATGCTTAATGTGAGGGATTGGCTTTGAGTCAATCAATGCAACAACTGGTTTTCCTTAGATGGAAAACTTTGCATCAGTTTGACTGTGTGATCTGGTGAACTGTAAAGTGCCTTGAGATGACATGTGTTGTGAATGGGCGCTATATAAATAAACTGAATTGAATTGTTTAGCCAAATTCTTTTGCAGGCTCTATTAAAACACCAGCCCCACTATGCTCCACCCCCTGGTAAATAGGATCTAGAACCAGCATTGATTCACAGAGATGTAAGTTTAAAAAAAAAAAATATATATATATACTATACACTAAAAATGTAAAAAAAAATTAAAGGAACACTTTGTAATCAGTTTATAGCATCAAGTTCATTAAACTTCTGGGATATTGATTTGGTCAGGTAAGTAGCAGAGGTGTTGTTCATCAGTTTCAGCTGCTTTGGTCTTAATGAAATTAACAACAAGTGCTCTAGTGGGGCAACAACAAGACGACCATCAAAACAGGAATGGTTTTACAGGTGGAGGCCACTGACATTTTCGCCACTCATTTTTTCTGACTCTTTTTTTGCATTTGGCTAGGGTCACTCTCACTACTGTTAGCATCAGGTGCTACCAGGACCATGCAGAGGTTGCACAGGCAGTCCAACTCCTCCAGGGTTTCATATCAATATGTGCCATTGACAGAAGGTTTGCTGTGTCTCCCAGCACAATCTCTCAGAGCATGGAGGAGATTTCAGGAGACAGGCAGTTACTCCAGGAGAGCTGGACAGGGCCATAGAAGATCTACAACCCATCAGCAGGACCGGTATCTGCTCCTTTGTGAAAGGAGGAGTAGGAGGAGCACTACCAGAGCCCTACAAAATGACCTCCAGCAGGTCACTGGTGTGAATGTCTCTGACCAAACAATCAGAAACAGACTTCACGAGGGTGGCCTGAGGGCCCGACGTTCTCTAGTGGGCCGTGTGCTCATTATTGGCACCGTGGAGCTCGATTGGCATTTGCCACAGAACACTGGAATTGGCAAGTCCACAACTGGCACCCTGTGCTTTTCACAGATGAGAGCAGGTTCACCCTGAGCATAAGACAGATTTGAAAGGGTCTGGAAAATCCGTGGAGAACGTTATGCTGTCTGTAACATTGTTCAGCATGTCCGGTTTGGTGGTGGGTCAGTGATGGTCTGGGGAGGCATAATCATGGAGGGACGCACAGACATATACAGGCTAGACAATGGCACCCTGACTGCAATTAGGTATCGGAATGAAGTCCTTGCACCCATTGTCAGACCCTATGCTGGTGCAGTGGGTTCTGAGTTCCTCCTGGTGCATGTGGGGAGAGTATGCAGGCAGTTCCTGGAGGATTAAGGAATTGATACCATTGATTGGCCCCCACGCTCGCCTGACCTAAATCCAATAGAACACCTCTGGGACATTATGTTTCGATCCATCTGACGCCGCCAGGTGGCACCTCAGACTGTCCAGGAGCTCAGTGATGCCCTAGTTCACATCTGGGAGGAGATACCCCAGGACACCCTCTGTCGTCTCATTAGGAGCGTGCCCCGACGTTGTAGGGATGCATACACGCATGTGGGGGCCATACAAATTACTGAATACTATTTTCAGTTGCTGCAATGAAATTTTAGCAAAATGGACTAGCCTGCCGCATCATTTTTTCACTGTAATTTTTGGGGTGTCTTTAAATTCAGCCCCTTGATAATCTTCATTTCCATCAATTGATGTGGCATCCTTTTGTTCCTAAAACATCACCCAGTCCATATCAGTATAAATAAACAGCATGATTTTTTCCCCCATTGAGATCTGATGTGTTTTCAAAGTGTTCCATTAATTTTTTTTAGCAGTATATATATATATATATATATATATATATATATATATAATATATATATATATATATATATATATATATATATATNTATATATATATATATATATATATATATATATATATATATGTTCGTGCCCAAGCGATTCATTTCAATTCAGTTTATTTATATAGCACCAATTCACAACAAAAGTCATCTCAAGGCACTTTACAGATTGTCCCCAGTCTCCCATATTGCTATTGGACAGTGATCACAGGAAGTTAGAACTCAATTGTTTTACTCAACTAAGAGCAGCACTACTTTGAAATATTTTAATCAAGTTAAAGTTGAAAGTAGTTATTCCAGAAATTACAAGAAAAAGTTCCTCAAGTACTGAGTAACTATTGGCTCATAACATCTGATTTGATTTTTAAAATTATATAATCAGAGGTAATTAGTGTAAATTTTGTGTAAATTCTGGTATTCCAAAATTAAACGATAACTGACATGATCACAAAATGACTCAATTTAGCAGAAGAAACATCTGCCTAACATTTCAGGAGAAACAGCATAAAACCAGTCACCGAAGTAGGTTATATAAGGGAAGTATAAAAAAAAAAACATGTCCAGGGACAATATCTATTGTTTACTGTAATTTTATCTGGATGTCTTTCTGAATAGAAAAGCCAGACATTTTAAAAAAGGAGAATAAATGTTACTATAATATAACTAAAGCAGAATTAAAAAGTGCAGTAAAGTGAAGTAACACTTTCTAAAGATATATTTTGTCCCAGAAGTTACTCATGGTAATGTAAATGGGTACAGTTACTAGCAACCTCTGTGATTTAACTTGTGATTTTTACTTGTAAGAAATTATTAAAATGTATGTATTTGGAAAGATTAATGGAGAGATTAATGGAGAGAATCTAATCAAAGTTTGAGAACTCAAAAAGTACTGCTAAAGGCACAGTTTCAATGCTGGATCATTTAACTCTTTGTTATCAGGAAGTCCACGAAAAGCAATTAAAAGCTTCGAGTTTTAAACTAAATAAACTTTTTCTTTAGGTTTTACTGTATGGCTATGTTTGTAGAGAATGATTGAGACCTTATTTCTGTACCAGCTCATTAATAATGCTGCAGCATTTTGTGTATTTGTCACTTGCTAATCCTTGCATTGCTTTAACTTTAAGACTTTACAGATCAGGAAGTTGCCTCTCAGGCAGTCAGCTGCCACCCAGAGGTGTGCGGTAGCTGCAGACCCTTCAGGTAGAGCCATCCGGCCGGGGGAGGACGTCCACAGAGCCGCCGTCTGTAATGGAGAGCAACGGCAGCGTGTGCGCGACCGTAGGGAGTCGCCTGCACGACTCCTCCGAGTCGGACTCGGAGCCGGATGGGGGTCTTGCCCGGCCGGCGGGTGTAGACCCCTCGCCCGGTTCCTTCGCACGCACCCAAGTAATCCACAGCGGACACTTCATGGTGTCATCGCCGCACAGCGACTCTGCGGCGCGCCACAACAAGAGCGGCGGCTCTCTAAGATATGACTTCGACACGGTGAACAGGACCTGGTGCCAGACCTACCGGTACCACTCCGGTAGCCTAAGCATCGACCCGACACTGACACGCCTTTTCGAGTGCATGTCTCTGGCTTACAGGTGGGTTCTGGATCTGCAGAGGACAGGCTGAACATACCGCGGCTGACAGATTTTAAGGTTTATTTCTACCGCTGAAAAAGTCCTGAGTCTGCCAGACGGAACCTCTTTGTTGTCAGTACGTAGTTTAAATTATAATAGCAAAATCTCGCTGAAAGATTCACATTTTATGCAGACTAAAATTAGCCTCTTCTTTATTATGAATATTTGAGCTTGACTGCGTAAAAGTATCTTTTCCAACAAATTTCCTATTTGAAGCGGTTAACCCAGGCTTATGTTGTCAGCCTCTTACACAACAGCTTGGAAACTCTTCACTGTAAACTGGACTTTGATTCCAGTTGGCAGGAATGGAAAGATTACAGAGAATCAGAGGCAAAGGGAAAAAGGTCACAGAAATGTGTTCCTTTACTTTTTATTTTTGCTTCTTTTCATATTATCATGGCACACAGCTGCATAAAACAAAATAGACACGCTAAAAAAAAGTTATTCAGTTCATAGTTTTGGGAACTTTTGCAGATAAAGTAAATATATATATATATATATATATATATATATATATATATATATAATTATGAGAAACAGATAAATTACAACAAAACAGCTGAACAAAATAGAACATTAATTGTGTTATTCCCCTGGGTTTTTAACTGACCAAAAGTGACTTGCAGCCATTTTATCCCATTAAAATCATCTTGAAAGTGATTTGCACGGCTTCCTAGCAACACCTGGAGCATCTCACATTAGAAACCTTCCCCTCAGCACTTTGCAGGCAGATGGATCTTAGAAAGAAAAAGGCAAACATCCTGTCAGAATTCTAATAAAACTTTTCTGTTAGGTGCTAATATTCATTTTCCGATGTTGTTCATCTACAATGTAACTCATATTTCACCCAGTGTAGTGTTTATTTTAAAGTTACTTTCTATTTCTGTTTACCACAGTGGGAAAATAGTGTCTCCCAAATGGAAGTCTTTCAAGGGTCTGCGCTTGCTTTGGAGGGATAAGATCCGTCTGAACAATGCAATATGGAGAGCTTGGTTCATACAATGTGAGTCTGCTTGTCTTCCCTTCTTCTTCCAGCTGCCACTGATTTCTGTGAAAATAAAGCCTATCTTTGGGATCTCTGTTCCCATGCATAAAGATGTCTGTGGCATGCGCTCACTTAACATAGACCTACGTAATCCTACAATAACATGATATTTACAGCTGATTTATTAAAAATGCTTTTCAGTAAAAGTCAACAGTAATAACTCCAATAACAAACGATAATTTCATTCAAAATGTATTTATCAAAAATGATTAACAATTCCTGTAATGAATGAATAGCACAATGAAAAAAATAATGTCTCATCTAAACATCCCTCACTTAACAATAATAGTTAACAATAACTCTCAACTCCCAATAACAGATGATACTCAGCCTCAGCAATGAACGAAATAATGTCTGTTCTGTAGACTATTGGAAAAAATAAATTAACAAATGAGCTAATTAACAAAAAATACCTCTTGTGTAGCAAAAATTATTCAAAATGTACCAAAAAACAAAAAAAAATATCAATAGACTATCTTTACTTTCGGTGTCCAGGTGGCTTTTCAGATTCCTTGCACCTCCATTGGACACCGAGACATATGTGCCTGCTTTGCACACTGTGCACAAGGCCTCCCGTTTGTCCGTAACTCTTTTGTAAATCGTCGGTAAACATACATTTGCGCTTTTGCATGTTGTTGGCGTACTGACAGCCACGCAATCTATATTCTGATTAAGAACAGGGCTGCCCGCACTGACGCGGCTCAGGCATTACGTCACACACAGCGTGGTGTGCAGTGCCCTAGTGCCTGTAAATATAATGGTCCAATTAAGGTAATTTAAAAAATCAGGACATTTCCTCACTTTCTAAAAAAAACCAGGACGCCCGGGACAGGACATGAAATATGGATATGTCCGGGAAATACGGACGTTTGGTCAGCCTACAATAATATAAATTAAGGATTTGTATTTGTTCAGCTAATACATAAATGTGGCATCAAATCTTAATCTGTAAGAAAACAAGTTTAGAAGTTCTGAATACATGCCAGAGTTACAACTTTGCAAAACTACAAACATACAAAACTACAAAAGCACAAATGTATGACTCTTCCAAAAAAAGTTAAAAACAATCCACTGGCCTTTGCCAAATTTGAAGATGTTTCGCTTCCCACCCAGAAAGCTTTCTCAATTTAAAATGTCTGGAGTAGCATTTACCTCCAGGCTTTTATAGAGTAGACCAACAAAAGCCTTGTTATGGCTTAGAAAACATGCAAAATCAACTGTAAACAGGTCCACCCCTGTGTAATGGGCCATGCGTCTGTGGAGAGGTTTTTGGTTTCTCCAATATAAAGATCAGAGCATTCCTCACTGTTTTAAACTGCACACACACAATAATCTTAGGTCTGGGGGTTTTGCCCTTAGAAAGCACTAGCCTTTGTTTAAAGGTCTTGCTTGGTTTGAAATGTAGTGGGATTTTGTGTTTGGAGAAAATCCTCTTCAGTTTTTCAGAAATTCAAGCAACTTAGGATGGCGATGTTTTTGTGTTTAATCTTCTCACTGTTAAGTTCTGCTGCATGTCTTTAGGATTTCCTTGCTGATCTATGACCTGGATGACTGAGGATCTTTCCTACCAAATTTATGACTTGTAAATTTGTGATTTTGTGTTTACATTACAGGTCTTTACAAATTCACACACAGTTGTGTGTCTGTATTCATCAGGTTTATTGGTATTACATTACATGTAGCTTCCTTAGGCGTGGGTAGCGAACATCGGTTCTTTTATGGTACCGACCGAAATGCTTCGGAGTATCAAAACATGCCTCGTCTTTCGGTGCCAAGTTTCAATGATTGGCTGTAACACTTAACGTGATTGCGTCATCCAGGGAAAATACATAGGTGGTCACACCTACAGCCAGGGTTCATGTGTATCTGTTGTGAACTGGTTTCGAGCGTCCTGGAACCCGTTTAAAATACCCCCCAGGTCAAAAGTGTGGCTTCACTTTATTAAGACTGATGCCAATATTGCGCAATGCAATACATTGTGCACGGAAACAATTTAAGAGCAGAAAGAATCGATTCATGTTATTTTTTTTCCTCCAGTCTACTTTTATCTATTTGCTCCTGGGCGTAATGCTTCCTCCCGTGCTGCGGTGCACTAAATATATTTTGCCCTCCTAAATCGCTTCCTGGTTATACTCTCACAGCAGTGTGTGCAGTAAGCTTGACACAGACATTTTTAAATTATGCTCAGTATTGAAGCGTGGTCTGTGCTACACACTTTGGGTCTAGATACGGCCGAGGGGGCGAGGAAGTGGGGGCGAGTTTAGTCTGACGACGGAGGGACATGAGGGCAAAATAGAGCGGAGATCCAGGTGTAAAAAGGGTCCCAGCGTTCTCGCGCACCTCGCTCTTCTAGCTGGTCAAACTTCACGAGTTGTTTTCCGCAATATCGGCAATAAAAACAAAACAAGCTGGCCTCCTGTCTGCGGCGCTGTTTGCGGTCAGCTACAATTTGGGAGAGGTGCATCAGAGCGTCTCTCAAGGGGGCGGGGACGTCTGGAGCCGATGTATTGAATTGCACTCATTGCACTGATTTTCTGCAGTATTTTTGCAGTATTTTTTGATGCAACTTTTCTACTTCTGTTATTTGCTGTTTCTAAAAAAAAAAATGCATAACGATATTACAGCTTTCATTGATTTATTTCAAACTTGAAACTTTGTTTAGCCTGTAATACAGCGGAAAAATAATAATAAAAAAAAGAAATAACCGATTAATCGAAAAAAAATTAATCAAATCGTGGTGTATTCTTGAGTATCGAAAATAATCGAATCGTTGGGTCAAGAAATCGATACTGAATCGAAATGCCATGATGGATGTGATTTACACCCCTACTGCGTTCACACCGGACACAGCAGGAGCAGCAAAATCGCGTCTGCTGCTTCCTTTCTGCTGCTTGTACCAGTTTCTGACGCGTGGCTGAAGCAGCTTTGCTGCTCTGGCTGCGCAGTCGAAAAGTGGCTCTGACACGCGTTGGGCGGAGCTGCTCTATCCTTTATTTGCCTTGCAGCTATATTTGCCGTGATCAGTGAGAATAAAGTAGTTTTATTATTTTTTTAAGATGGAAAATCCACATGAAAACTTAATCAATGCAGTCACTTCATCCAGATTACCATCCTGCCTTCCAATATTATTTCTGTCGGAGCCGCTCAGACCCCCACATACCGGCAGTGCGCTGTCAGTAGGATTCCCATTCAACGTTTGTCTCCTGAGAACGCAGACATGTAAATTTTTCTAAAGAAAAACTGCTAAGTAAAAAGGTCCTCACAATGTAACAGTGAATTTTAGATACTGACTTGTTGACAACTGTTCTTCTTAACTGAAAAAAAAAATTTAATGTAAGAGGAAAAATGTAAATGGAAAAATCAGAGCTTAAAATAAAACTCAAGATTTGTGCTTTATTATGTTGTTTAATTTTCTTTTTCTTCGAATTGATATTATAAAACTGGTATCGAAAAAAGTATCGTTCAGGAACCGGTGTCGAAGTGAAGGTATTGGTACCGGCACCGGCACTGAACATTTTTGAATGATACCCAGCCCTAAGCTTCCTGGTCTATCTAAAGGTCAACCAACTTTTTATTCAGCATCATACCTGGATACAGTTGCTGGCTTTTATTGTGTGCCTCTTTCAACTGATTTATCGTCTCTTAGCTGACATACTCATCCTTTATCATCATTATGTCTTCACATGACTCACTTGTCCTTTCTGTCTCCTTGAACCCCAGTCGGCCTCGGCAGATGGTTGCTCATACAGAGCCTGGTTCTGCTCAAGGTTTCTTCCTATTAAAAGGAAGTTTTTCCTCTCCACTGTTGCTATAAGCATGCTTGGTGTGAGGGATTGCCTTTGAGTCCAATGAGTCGATGCAATCAACTGGTTTTCCTTAGATAGAAAACTTTTAATTAATCTGACTGCATGATCAGGTGAACTTTAAAGTGCCTTGAGATTACATGTATTGTGAATTGGCACCATATAAATAAACTGAATTGAACTGTTCTCCTGCTCTCCAGCGTAGTCAAAAGCTTCCTTCCTCTCTCCTTATGACGTGAACAGCTTTGGTTTTATAGTTTCTTCTGTCCCTGTCATGGTGAGGTCTGTTTCTAAAAAATGTGCGTGGTGGGCTCAGACTTTTCTTCAAGAAGTCCGTTTGACTTTGACCCACCACTCGGCTAGGCTAGCAACTATTAGCAATGCTTGTTAGAAATCAGACATAGGCAGTGTGGAGTCATCTCCATGTCATGTATTGGTTCTACCCAGCCAATTAACCAGGTGAGTCCAATCTGCACAGGTTAATTCACGGTGAAGATTGGACTCACCTGCTTCAGTGGCTGGGTAGAACCAATACATGACATGGAGATGACTTGTTGACTCCATATTGCCCATGTCTGTTAGAAATGGTCTCCCTTTCACTCAGAATTGGGCTTCAACGCTGCCACCATGTTTCACTCTGTTCTTCATACTTATTCTCAAGTTAGACAGATGGACAAGATTATTTCTCAACTAAACTTTATTGATGTTCTCCTAAACCTCATACAACTCCAGCAACCAGCACATCTGGCACGTTCCACACTAGACATTAGTCTTTTAACAGATACAACGTGTGATAAACGAGGATTTTATTGCTGTCATTTTGCCGTGCATGCCAACAAATGTGTCTCTATCTGTATTCGTGGTATAAAATCATCTTCTTCAACTAATGGATTAGAATTTAATTTATTCATAAATACCATTTTAAATTTTTTAAAGTACATTTGAACCATTTTTTCTTAACAAAATTAAGTTATTGAAGCTGAAATATATTCTTAGATCTTTATTACTTGTCGTTAACTAGGTAACTGTGTGTTTGTTTTTTCCCGCAGTGTCCTATACAACTAATCCTTTCTCCCTTTTTAAAAAATTCCTTTGTCCATGTTTTAACCCTTTAAAACCTAAGCCCTGAAATAACTGGTGAAAATTTTATATATTTAATGTAACTTATTTCATAGAACGTAAGTGTATAAGTTATTTGAAATTTATACCTTAGAAATTTACTTACAATCTATGATGGATTGTTTGTTCTCTGTGTGTCTTATTGTAATTCTTTTTTTTTTTTTTAACAAAAATATTACAGTGATGAAATAGAGGTCTTAAGAAATCAAATATCATTGAAATACATGTTAAGGGGTTAAAACCTAAAAAACACAATATTTTTTTGTTCAATAAAATGGAAAAACATCCTATAGAAGATATTCAACAACAATGATAAGTTGTGTTTTATTTAAAGGTCATGTTTCCTATGTGGCTGACTTAAAGTTAGCTGGGCTCGGGGTAAAACTCCTCTTTGGATTTAAGGGTGGCAAACCACTCAGGTTAGACTGATGAGGTTAGACATCAAAATGATGCCTTCAGCATTAGGAAAATGTGTATTAGACAATCTACCACTTTACCCTCTTCTAAAGCAAACTGTATAAATCTGAAACATCTGTATCCTTAGATGTGGAGAAGAGGAAAAACCCGGTGTGTGGGTTTGTCACCCCGCTTGAAGGCTCCGAAGCAGAAGCTCATCGAAAGCCTGAGGTGAGTCACTGAACTATTATCACCCTATTGAGAGTTTCTTCTTTTCTAAACATTGATTTTCTCTGGTTTTTGATTAACAGGCAATAATTTTGGAAGGCAGCTACTGGAAGAGGCGGATTGAAGTGGTGATTAAGGAGTATCACAAGTGGAGGATTTATTATAAAAAAAGGGTGAGAATGAATCCATATATTTGGACTGGAAATTCAAATGGTCAGTTTACTGTACCTTATCGAGGGAGTGAATTCTTGCCTGGTCTCATGGAGACATAATTAAATATTCAGTGTGTTATCAAGGGAGGTACATATATTGATGACTTATCTTGTTTTTATTTGTTTTAAGATATAATGTTATTCAATTCTACTTGTTAACTCTCCTGTCCCGTCCATAGTTCCCATGTGGTGCTTCCAAATGTACCCCCACAGTGAGGTCACTATCCTCCAACATTATATGGAAGCCTAGACCCTTCCAAAGGTTTAAAGGACAGCAGCTGATTTAATTTATGCTTTTTCTAACTTTTTATAATTTAGATGTGGCAGTTAGCAGGTTAAAGCTCCAGTGTGTAATAATTACATGGATTTACTGACAGAAATTCCAAATATTATACACAAATTTAATTTATTTTTATGTACAAATTGAAAGTCTCAACCTTCATGAATGCTTTGCCTTAGAACTACTATTTATAACGACATAGTAGCGGGTCACTAGGCAGACATCTTTTTGCTATTGCAGCTCAGAGCTAATAAACTAGGGACTGTAGAGATCGACATTATGTCATAATGTTAAAAGTCAACAGTGACTTTACTTAGTTGCGCCCAAATTTTTTCATTTTATGTGTTTCAGCTATAAATGAAGAAACTTTAATATGTAGCATCATAAAAAAAATAAGAAATGGATAGAAAACAGAACAAAAGAGATGAAGACCTAGGAAGCTATTTAACTGTTAAATTCTTCAACGTGAGAATTTCAAGAATGTTCCTGGATCAGTGGTTCTTTGTTTGTGAATCAATTCTCATATTAATTAAAAAAAATCAATTCCTGTAACCAAAGACCATGAAAAAAACAAAAAACTGATTTTACCTTATCCTTCTGGCTATCATTAACCACCATTACTGTATTATTTTCTGTTGAATGTTATTTTAATCTGAAAAACTAACACAAAGGGAAAAGACAATTAGGAGAAATTTATTGATACAATTTCTTTGTCTTTGGCAATCAGACCTCGGCAGGAAACATAGCACTTAATATTGAGAGATATGCATGAACAGGAGCAAAGAATAGGGATGTTTCCCCCCAGACCTGAAACTGGTGGTGGAGAGGAGATAGATGAAGTTGGTCAGTCTGTAGACTGCTGGTTAGCGAGACGGTATGCTGAGCTTTATGGTGAGATCCATTGGACTGCGTGAGCCTTACTCAGGTGTTTGGACCTGGAAAATGGAAGTCCAGTTTGGATAACACAGGTTGAGAGAACCCGTCCATGATGAGCAAGCATGAAGCGACAGTGGAGAGGAAAAACTCCCCGTTGGGAAGAAACCTCTGGCAGAACCAGGCCCAACATTGCGGTCTTCTGCTGGACCGGTTAAGATGAGACAGGGAACACAGTGAGAGTCCGGGAGGAATGACACTCTGATGAAGCTTCAGCTACGAAGGTGGAGGAGGGGCTGGAGGTGGATTGAAATGGTGTCATCTGAATTAAGTCACAGCGCTTCCGCCGCCCACGCACAGGAGCAGACAGGTGCATATCGGAGGCCTTTTAATATGAACTTTGGATGCCGATTGGCTTTCGTGGAGGCGTGGTTCAAAGATGATTGGCTGTGCGCAGGTGGATGCATGAAAAGCAAATGAGTTTCTTCAGTTGACCTTCCGTCTAGGCTCCATAATACTTTCTTTAATATGTAGCATCAAATGTTATTCAGCTAGAAAAATGTTTTGAATACCCGCAATCCAATTTAAGATCCAAAGATTTGATCTCAAGAATTGAAAACTAATAGATTTGTAAAGTTTAAATTGATATGCATATATGGAGTAAACTTTGTTCCATTGTTATTGCAAGCAAAAAACCCTTTTTTGTGAATAAAAATGTGGAAAAACACAATCCATAAATAAAACTTTGAAAAATGTCATAACCAAAAAAAGGTTTTGAGAGTACCTTTTCTATTTCCTCAGATATTGCTTTTTTACAATGATTTTTGCAAATATTTTTTTTATAAATGCTAGATTTTAGGAGCTGATCACCAATAACAAAAATCAGTATCTGCTGATCGCACTGATCACAACATCAACTCCATAAAGTCTTCAACTGCCTTCTCATGTACATTGTAGTATTAGAAATTCACAGATGAGAAACTATTCTGAATTAATCATGATTTTAGTAGAGATGAGCAGAGATGAGCTTTATTTATTCAAAATAATGTTGACAAAGGATGAAATAATGACTCCTCTTAAGATGTTTGTAGGTGGCTTTTAGAAAGGTCGTTTTAATTTAGCCATAGAAGGACTGTTTCATCATCCGGTTAAGCTGCTCTCTCTTATTATTTTTTCAACATTTATTTTTAATCTTTGTTTTTTTTGAGACTGAGTTTCATATATTTCAGTTTTTTTTCTTTAAATTGCTTTTCAGGGCAATCACATTCTCTTCCCTTCTGGGGTCAGAAGATCCATTTCTATCGATCTGCATGGAGGTTTCCCTTCAAGTCCCAATAAAAACTGTCATTTTTATTGGGCTCGAAGGGAAGAAAACAATTTAAGGAAGAATGCATTTTTTAAGATTCAATTTGAAAATACAAATCAGAAAAAAATTGAAAATATGAAATCTAAAAAATATATATATTTGTAAACAGCAGTTACTCTCAAAACATTTCTGTTTCATGAAGAATTTCTTCAAAGTTTCACTTTTAGCTTTTACATTTTCATCTATAAAACCTGCTCTTTTGGAACAAAATTTCCTGCATACCCTGCCTGTCTGCGCATCATCAACTACATCAAGCAAGTGAATGTCTGCTGTCGCCACATGTTAATCCTGAACGATATACTTCTATAAAGTCGATGACTGGATCTAGTCTGCAGTGTTTCCTGTTATGAAAAAAAGAGTGCGTTGTGATGAAATGTGTCGAGAATTGTCTATATATAAATTAACTGAGCTGAACAAGGCTAATATGATGTTTTACTCCATATTGGTTCCCCATTGTCATTTTTTGACATATTGATTCACTTTCTCTTATTTTAAACATATTACTTCTGAATTAAGCTGTATCACCTCTCTGTTTGGGTTTTGCAGCTCCAAAGGAAGAAGGATGATATTCTGTCAATGCTGCAAGAGGTAAGGCTTTCTGACAAGTCATCTTTTAAATGTTTCCTACAGAGCCTCTTTGTGCTTGTTTTGGAAGTACACTGATTTTGTCCATCGGAGGCTAAATCCTTTCGACTGATCTGATCTGCCTTGTTTGGGCTGCTGACCTGCTTATCATTATTCACCTCTGAATGCATTGTAAGAACAGTAGGACTGACTCTCCTGTTAACTAGATGAGGGGTGAAAAAAAGGAGTAAACAAGGGCAAAACCACCTAAGCCATGCGTCATAGCGTGACATTCATAAGCAATTGGCACACTGATTACCATGAGCTCTCAGCTCTTGTGCATTTTTAGAGGGTTTTAATCTCAATTTAAGTGAAACAGCTTCAAAATTTTATGTCTTTTTTATGTTGCCTATATGCCATAGTGCCCTATTAGATATAAGCAGCAGTGGTACAGTTTGGTTTGCTAGTGACGCCATAGAATGGCAAAAACCCAGAAGCGTATTTGTGTGTCAGAGAAGTAGTAGTGAAGTAGGGGGAGGGGCTCATGAATGACAGTCCTGCTGAAAATATAACCGTCTGATGGGGTAAGATAACTGTGATTATAAACACATGCTTAAGTGTTTGGATTCATAAATATAAGTCAACTAATTGTGAATGAATTTAAGCTTTGTATTTGTTCACTGTTTTCAACCATCACCTAAACATGACAGCAGCTGTTTTATCTGTGAGAAAGTTCTGAAGCTACAGCTTTGCAAAAGGAGAAGTCCAAATCACATGTCCAGGAATAGGAATCATACATTTATGAGTACAAATCTCAAATTTACTTTTAAAGATCACAAATTAGAGAGTGCAGATCACAAATGTAAAATTAGGAATCTCAGGTTTATGAGTACAAAGACATTTATGAGTAGGAATCACAGATTTATGAGCATCAATAACACATTCAGGATTAGGAATCATAGATTTCTGAGCAGTCCTTACCACTTGTGATGGTGATGCACCTGAAGGTTGTACGCACACCAGCTTTAAATGAAAAAAAGAAAAAAGATGAAAACAGAACCAATGTAATTTTATTTATTAGCTGAAATGTATTTACATTAAATGTGCAGTATTAGATTTGATCCTCGTTTCGGTTTTGCGTCTTCTTCACCTTCTTCTTGTTTAATGCCGGTTGGGGCTCAACTTCTGGTGCATTACTAGCGCCATCTGTTTAGAAGTGCTAACAGCTATATCAGCAGATTTTTAATCATAGTTGTAAACTTGTTATTTTTACATGCATTTTTGGCAAAATTGCAAGTTTTTATTTGTAGCTTTTAAATATGTAGTCTCACAGATGAAACAATTAATGTGACGTTTCTTGAAGAGCTGACAAGAACCATATCTTGAAGTTATTCACATTTATTATCAAATGCACATTTATTACAATTCAGACATATATGCACACTTTTTATAGCATACATACTCAATGAGGCAGAAAATAATACAAGCTTCCTTATGGGCTGAAAGCCTAACCCCCACCCCCACTCACAAACACACGCTCACACACACACACACACACACACACATACACACACACTCACACACACACACACACTCTCACACACACACACACACACACTGCCCACGGCACGAGTTAAAAATTAAGAATAAGAACCCTGCAGTAATGACTCTGTCTCCAGCCATCCATGTTATCATGCTCTTTGTGGCACTTAAAACGGAACACATCAGCAGGAGGTCAAAGATCGCTAAACTGGGTCTTTATGCTCCTCTGTGTTATCTGGCCTTCCTTGAAACAACTTGACTCGAGCGTGTGGAAAAACACACAAGCCAGATAAAAGGGTTTGTTTTTAATCAAATTCAGGTTTGACAGTCGTCGTTACGTCTGTCCGACTTAACCCCAAATCTGTTTGACGATCAGTGCAATCATTATTTCCAGAAATTGTTTTTCATTTTTCATGTTTCTTCGTTCCAAATGATAAAAAAAATCTGATACTTTGCTTGGTGGCTTTGAAGCAGAACCAGAAAGGAAAAGAATTATCACTCATTTTGTGAGTTTTATCTGACTCTCCTTAAAGATATTTAAAGTAGAAATATACAAAAAGGAAAATGACAGTATTTGTGAGAGGTATATACATATTTTTTTTTTAAAGAAGGAAGACATGGTTTGTAGCATTGGTGCAAATATGAATGTTACTGTGTGCTTACAGAGAGTCTGCACAGAGGAACTATCCCTTATGGCTAGTTTTTGTAAACGGCTTTCTGAAATGCTCCCAGTTGATGTAAAGGTTTAAATGTTTTGTGTCCAGGATATGTGTGGTCTGCAGAGATGTTTACTTCCCTTCTCCTAACCTCATCCTCTTTGGAGGGAAGCTCACTCCTACGATGATCCTCTATGCAGACCTGATATATCTTGTAATTATTCACGCATCCACTCCTTGTGATGCACCAGCGAAACAAACCCACAGCATTGTGCTAGCGCCTCCATTCCTTAATAAATCCCTCTGATGCATGAATTATGAAAGCCTTGATCACAATTTTTTCTCAAGGGTTTTTCTTATTCTTAGGACATTGAAAAAAATGTTTAACTTTTTTTCCCAAAAATATTGTTGTTTCATGAAGTTACAGATATGTCCACTGGAGTGGACTATGCGCACATGAGAACTCAATATAAAATATTATGAATTTATAAAAAAAAATAATGATCTAGTATTTTGTTGTAAAAAATGCAGACCATTGATTCATTTAATGCTTTGAAAAATATTTCCACATGTTTTGTTTAATTTTTTTACAATATATAGGCACAATGTTTAGAACTGAATAAGGAAACCAATGACACTCATAGCTGACTAAAGCGACTGAAATTCCTCAGGATCTGCTGCTGCCTCGAATGTCTCCTGAAGTGTACTTAGGAAGGGTCTTATAATGGGGAGCCTATATGTGTTTGCTGGGCGGTAAGCAAAGTTATTTACAAAGTGGAGGTACCTTAGGATTTGCTCATATCTGTTCACAGACATGGCATTACCAATTATTTTAATTCGTAGTCCATCTTCACTTGACAAGTACATTACTGCCCTTCAATACCGAATGTACCCCATGATCAAGTTGATCCCTAAAAATGTTTGCATTTCATCTCCTGTCAGATATCCTTTCCCTTTCTGAAGAGCATACAAGTTGGTGTTTTGCACTATGTCATCAATCAGATGAGCTGGAAACAGATGTCTGAAACAATCCATAGGATCTCTTCCCTCCACATTCAATGAATTTACACTCTCCTAGAAAAGAAGGCAAGTCTCCATCAAAGTCATTGTTTTGGATTTTCCAGATATATTTATGGGCTTCAGTACGGTCAGGTGCCCTGTGCCCATCATCCTCAGCGTCCTGATCATGCTGACCTTCCTCTGTTTCCTGGCCCTCATCACCCTCACTTTCCTGTTGGGCACCTTATTCTTCACTGTGTTTGAAGTCTAAAATATAAATCATTGGTATAGTCATTTCAAGAAAGGTAAAACAAAAGTTAAAAAAAACAATCCACTGGACTTTATTTTCCAAGTTTGAAGACATTTCGCTTCCCATCCAGGAAGCTTTTTCAATTCAAAACAGTCACACAAACTACAGCTAATCTGCAGAAAGTACACACAAAATACACTAAAATGTAAATTTTAAATGAATAGCTTATATGTATAACATTAAAACACTGAATTATTAGCAAAACCATTACAATACACAGAAAAAGCAATATATGACTTATGTTGAAAAAAATTTAATGCCTGATGCATGACGTCCACTTCATTGGACACATGGTTAATCGTAATTTGCTACAAATTAAACAAAAAAATATATATTTTTAATTGATAATATCCTTCCTTAGGTGTTACTGTAAATCATTATATTTTTTTTTACCTGTTGGGCTCTTTTACAATAAGTGGATTGAGAGAATTTGCCAGCACTGGTCGACAGGGGTTGTGTTTGTTGGCCATCTTGGATTCAGATTAAATTTACTTGCAGTTACAATGACTGACCACTAAAATGACCTCAATGGAGTGGGGCAGCAGAGAGCGTTCTAGACACTAATATGCAGTTTCACTATAGAAACCATAGAATTAAAGAGATATTTATTTTGTAGTAGCTGTCCACTACAGTGACCACTATGCACCAGATGGTGCACCAGCGAAACAAACCCACAGCATTATGCTAGTGCCTCCATTCCTTAAAGTTGGTGCATTTATTATTTTTGCTGAAAATTTAAGGTCTGGCTAAATTCTTAGAGACAAACTCCCTTGGTTATTCATCATTTATAAAAAAAAAACAAAAAAAAAACTTATTGCACAAGGGAAATACTAAAGTCGGCGTGGTCATCTTGTTGAAGGCTTGGAGAATCATTTAACTTAACATAGTCAGGCATCCATCCCCAAAGCCCTGGTGGCTAGTGAGGGTGAAGACAGAGTTTGACAAACATTGAAATTCACAATCTTAAACAGAAGCAGAACTGAAGACCCTGGGCCTTTCCCGGTCTGTGGCTGTGTCCGAAAGTGACTATAGCCATGATAGAACGGCTGCCAGAAAATCGAATGCTTAAGATCATCTAGAAGATGCAGAGATGGTTAACACACATCTTACCTATGTGCGTTAATGGTGCTGCATCAACAGGTGACTCATATTCTGCTGTTACTTATGCTGTTGTTATTATTTATCATTACCCTTTAATGATCAATAATAATTGAAAGGCTACTTGAATATACCAAAGTAAATATTTTAATTAGGTCTATATTTTTTAGCCTTTTCGTTTATTACAGAATAACGTCTGTAGCCAATGTGAAATAATAATTCTTGGTGAGGTGCTTCTTTACTGTGCTTATGTAGAAGTTACATTTATACACCCCCTCCTCCATGCCGACCACAATCTGGTGCTGCTAAAGTGGGAAATTTTCTCCTGTTTCTACTTTGCTTTGGAACTTTTTTCTCTGGATAATTTGTTCCTCTTGTCCTTGAACTCTCCTTACTGATTCTTCATAGCCTATATTTTT